TACCATGTTGGTCTAGCGCTACAGTATTAGCTTGTGCTAAATACCATGTTGGTCTAGCTCTACAGTATTAGCTTGTGCTAAATACCATGTTGATTTAGCAGTTTAGCATTACCTTCTGCTAAATACAATGTTGGTTTAGCGGTTTAGCATTAGCTTCTGCTAAATACCATGTTGGTCTAGCGCTACAGCATTAGCTTGTGCTAAATACCATGTTGTTATGGCGTCTGACCTGCTTTTTCTCTGTATTTCCTGCTCCGTCCACCCATCTGGACGTCCTCTGTCCTTCATCGTCCTCCTCCTCTTCACTGGACAGGACGACTGAAAGCAGAGAGAGGATCAACGTTCTGCTTAGTGGACCAGGAACCTGGGTGCGGAGGAAGCGGGTCAGACTCACTGGCTTCACTGGGATTCAGTTTGCACTTCTTCTGTCTGAGAACTGAAGCTGCCAGCGTCTTCCTGTCTCTGAACGTCCTCCACCTGTGCCTCTGAGTCTCCATCACGTCCTCCAGGTCTGCATGCCGCCTCCTCCTGGCCGTTTTTGGTGACAACGCCGTCTTCATTGAGGAGGAAGAGGAGCTGGACAGAGACACAAACTCGTCCTCAGACGTCTCCTCTGGTCCAACACTGGACGAATTCTTCTTCTCCTGGAACAAACAGAGTCTCTCAAGCTGGCGGAAAACCGGCTGCAAATTGGAGGACTTTCTGTCCTTTTACCTTCCCGTTGGCGACTAGTTCCACTTTCCTCTGTGGCGGAGAAGAACTCAACTTCCCAGCATCCACCTGTGCTCTCTGCTCTTCCAGGTAGTCCACAGCCTTCACAGAGATGCGTTTATGCGGCGTGGACAGAACAGAAACTTTCTTCTGTGGTGGAGACTGGAGACCCGAGGAGTCCTCCGGCTGCAGCAGAGAGTCAGACGCTCTGTTAGGGCGCCCCCTGCTGGACGAGCAGGGGAAAAACACTTTATAAACCCTACAGAACCATCAGGATAAAAGCAGCTGTGGACACAGAAATTGTATCTTTTGTTATGAAAAATGCAAAAACAAATGTATTGTAAAGGCAAACTGAATACTCAACATCCTGATTCCTATACAGAACATATCTGGAAATCATTTTGAATGTATTCTGGGCTACGAGTACATGATTTTGTTGTTTTTATTCTCATAAATTCAAAATTGTTGAGCTCATTTCGTCTTTACTGTATGTTTATGGTGCTATATGTAGAATATGAATGCAAAAAATCAAATATTTAAAGTTTTCTTTATGATCCCGGCAGTTAATCTTTTATTAACTGGCATCAAGAATATTAACTGAAACTATTAAGAGGCAGAAATTAATAAAATAACACTGTAATAACAGAAAATGCATTTAAATAACAATAAGAAAAAACAAAGACAAATTATTATAGGCAGAAAAATATAATATTTACAAATCAACCAAGTCAATAGTACCTGGACATTTTCATATTAATTTAAGAAATGCTGGAAAATATCCGATCTTACCAAACAATTAATAAATAAATTAAATTCTAAATGATGCAGTGAGGTGCCGTAATGGATCGAACCCTTCTGACAAATAAAAACAAATCGACTCCAGCAATGTCTGCACAGATATGATAAGCTGCTATCTCACCAGTCAGAAAAGCTCTGCTGCCATTGGCTGCTCCAGCTTCCTGCCGACCCGTGATTGGCTGATGAAGCTCTGCCCCTGAAAGAGCTGTCCAGACCGAGGAGAGTTTGGACGTAGCTCCTGAATGGTTGCCGCGTCGCCCTGAAAAGACAACATCGTTTCTCCCTGCATCCAGATGTAGCGGTCATCCTGGCCTGAAGGGGGCGCTACACCAACCTTATTCCAGATGATTTCCCATCATGCATTCTGTCAGATCCACCTCTTTTGGTCGGGCTCCCCAAATCCCACTTGGACCAGAGAATACAGATAAACAATGATGTATTAAGGTCATCTTGGATAGAAAAAAAATAACTGCCAAAAAACTCAAATATTGAGATTAATCCCTGAAATTTTCTAGAAAAAAAGAAAATTTTGAATTTCAAAAATTTGCCTTTTGAAACTCTAAAATTTCTGCATGTTTTTCCAACAAATTTTTGACTTTTGAAACCGAAATGAATTTTTTTGAGATCTCAAATTTTCTCAAAAAATACTGTTTCAAAAGTAAAAAAATTGCTGGAAAAAAAGATACATTTTGAGATATAGTTTGAATCTATGAAATTCTATTTTATAAAGGAACATTTCTAGCAGATGTTTTACTTTTGAAACTCAGAAATGTACAGTTTTTCTATTTCTGAGGCTAATCTCAAAATTGTCAATTTCATTTATAAAGCACTTTAATACATGTTAACTGCATCAAAGTGCTCTACACAGTATATAATGTATCAATATAGCACATAAGAATAAAACACAAATTAAAGCACTTTTTGGGGAAATTAACCCATCTTACCTCCTTAACCTGGGGGGCGGAGCCATGGAGACGTGACAGGGGCGACAGCAGGTGGATGTGGGCGGAGTCAGAACCCTCAGGTTGTTTCTTCTTGGGGATTTTATAGGGAAACGCCATCCTGTCAAATAAAAACAAACCACTCCAGACTCCATTGAAAAAACAACCAATTCCACAGCAGCAACCCGGTTCAGCCACTATCTGCATCGCACTGAAAACGATGAAAACACTGCACCAAACTCCATTGAAAAAGATACACATTTTACCAGTTTTCACAGAGTACGTTTCAAGATCAAATTGACATAATAAAACTAATTGAAAATCAAACAAATGCGTTCAATTAAACTTTCAGCTTGTTCTAAATTGATAACAATGATGAACTGCTACTTTTAAAGCACTTCAAACCACACTGAACCTGAACGGAAAGTGCAAATAACGGGGAAAAGTGTTAATTTCAGCTACACTAGGAAACTGAAGCAGGTTATTTTACAGCCGAATTTCTCTGAAGACCTTCTCGATTAATAAAAAAATATTCACTCAATCGCTTCCTTCATATTCATCCGACTTTAAACAGTTTTAATTCATACTCACAAACCTGTGTAAGCCAACTAACTAGCTGGCTAGCTAATGTTAGCCAGCTAGCCGGGGAGCTCAGCTATCTCTCCGCGGCTTGGTTTCGCTGAAGCGTCCCTGGAGTCTCCAGTGGACTCATGGGAAACAGCAGAACTTTATTCTGGTCCAGAAGAACCGTAGAAGTACTTAGAAACCCGCATTATATTTCCAAACAGATCCAGGTTCATCAAGCTAATGAAAACAGAGACCGTGTTCTTCTTCTTCCAGGTTACTGGGGGATTCATCACCAACGATCTGTGCGCGCTGCCACCTGCTGTCCAACAAGAGCAACAGCAGCCTGTTTAAGTTTGCTCTTTTCTGATAATACTGACTTTTTATTCAACCTGATCTGCCTCCTTTGGTATTTTATCATGTCATATTTATTCTGTATGTTGACTAATAGGTATTTTCTTGACATACATAAAAAGAACCACAGACAAAATTTAGTAGTTTTCGATCAAGTCTTTTGGAAAAGTAAGAGATAGAAAACTGTTCCTTCAAACAGTTTATCATGTGTTCTGGCTCTGATGCATAAGGCTTGTCTTTTATTAACACAAAGCAGGAGTGAGCGAGAAAGAAAAAGGGGTGCTAAGTAAAAGAAGGGGGCTATTCTGATAACAGGAATAGGAGAAACAGAAACTACATCCTAAACACAGGAAGTTTCACAAGTGAGGAGTTTTCTGGTAAAAAAAAAACAGCTGCAGAAAACATGTCCAAGGTTTAGAGAAAGTTTTGTCTGGCAAAGGTTTAAGAAATTAGAACACTACCCTTAAATGAAAATCAAACCAGTAAAACTACTAATATAACTACTAATGTAAGACTGATAACAAAACATACATTTATTAAAACGTCTCAGTCAGGATAGTTGGTTTGCATGTCTGTTAACCTGAGTGTGTGGCGTTTGTTACCATCTAATTAACTTCTATACCTTACTTTTTCATAAAGGGAAACTCCTTTATTTAGACCATCAATATGTTAACACAACATAAATTTCTCTTTAGTTTTCTTTGTTCTGTATGAACAATCTGTGAAAAAAATCAATTTCCTCCCTGAGCTGTTATTGCTGTCTGACAACCAATCAGAGCCAGGAGGCGGCGCCTAGTGCTGTCAGTCATCCTCAAGTACATGCTGCAAAATGTGCTAAAAGCAGAGAAATTACTTATATTTACAGGAAAACTGTCATCCGTGACTATGCTACATAGACTGAGGACCTGCTAATTGCAGCCAGGTGGTGATTGGCAGTGCTAAGCCCCGCCTCTTGACTATTGATTGGTTGTTTGTAATCAACGATGAAATAAAGGCAGAGAAACTCATTTTTTCACATATTTTCTGTCTCATGATTAACTGGTAGTTTAAACAAATGTGTATAAATGTGTATTTTTTTAAAGTTACAAGCTTTAACTTCCTGGTTTGCAGTAAACATTGAGTTGGGGGCGTGGCCTGCTGCAGCTCATTTGGATTTAAAGTGACAGATCCCTGAAACATCTCATTCTGGAACTCAGACTAAAATACGTTTATCTATCTTTGATTAAAAAATACGACAAACAGCTTTTGTTTCACCCACAGACCGATCCCAACCTGTTGAAGGACGGATCGCCTGTAAAATGCCTGCTGGTGAATTTTTCTGGATGGAAATGCAGTCATGAAAGCTGCAGATACGTGTTCAATCATGTTAGTTTTTGGCTCCTGTCAGCTGCAGTTATGAAATTATTAAGGTGTTGCCATTGAAAGTGTTTGGTTTGGTTTTAACCCCTTGTGCTCTTGGTTTTCTGCTGGAGACGTTCATCAGAGTTTTTCCCCTCAGGGAACTTTCTGTCTGTTTGTTGATGGCAGTTTGTCCAGGCTTGTACTCTCTGGACAGAATCCAAACCAATAAACATCCTTGCAGCGTTTGGGTTCAGGAACATGTTCCTGAAGTGGTCTGGTTTCTCAGCAGATGTTTATCAACATCGAGCGGCTTCAGGCTGCAGAACCACAGCTGCATCGCTTCGGTTCTGCAGGTTCTGAGAGGAAAACCGACTCCTGGTTCAGGTGAGCGAACCTCCAGTTTCATCTAAAAATGTTCAGAATGTTTCATACTAAAGTTTAGAAGTTCAACAAACAGCAGATAATTTGAGATAATCTCTAAAATAATCTGAAACGAGAAGATTTGAATGTTTTCTCCTTAACTTGTTCAAAAAAAAAACATAAATTATCTTTATTCACCGATAGATTAGTTTTATGAATTGCTGAAGACGTTTTTCAGTTTTATATGTTATTTCTTCAAGTGTTGTTTTTATTAAAGCTTTTTTGCAATTTAGACAATATGTCAATAGTATTTTATTTGCATTTCTTCATATTTTTGAGCAATATAAACCTTTTCCTGTGTTTTTTTATGCTTGTGCAATTTTATTTCTAACATATGCAACATTAGCCTTACACTGAAGTGACTTAGACCTCTAAACTCTTTTCATTTCAAATCTAAATATTTGGGTTAATTTAAATTTTGTCAGTGAACCTTGATGAATTTCACATTTTAACATTTTACAGCCTCGGTTTGTGATTTTGTGTTACTGTAAAACTTTTTAGATGATTATATTTGTGACTTCAGCAGAGATCCAGCTGAGGCTGGATATTTCATCTGACACTTTGTAAAGTTCCTCAGAATCAGATCAACACTGAATGTTTGAGATAAAAACTGAAGATGGAGAAAAATGGAGCAAATTTAGAAAAGAATAAAAAATCACTAACAGTTTAGTAAAAAATACTTTATTACAGATTAAATGTTATAGTTTGGGGTTTTTCATTACACTTTTATTTTGTAACATTTTTGAGTTCAAGAAGTCCTAAATTTGGGAGAAAACTCTCAGATATTTTGAGATTAATCTCAGAAAAGTTTTGTAAAAAACAGGAAATTGCAAATACTTGATGAAAAATGTTTTTAGATTACTCTCTGACTTTGAAAAACAAAACAATAAAACTTCTGAGCTTCATAAATCAGAAATCTTTGACTTTTGACACTCAGAAAATTCCCAAAAGTCACAACTTTGTTTTTTTCTGGAAAAAATGTGAAATTAATCTAAAAATGTCTTAATTTCTTTCTCAATTGTTTTATCAAGATCAAACTTTTTCCCTAGAGTTTAATCTCAGCATCTCAGTTTTTCTGAGAAAAATTCCAACTTTTATCTGTAACTGATGCTGTGCAGAAACCTCTGCTGTTATCTGTGTCAGTGTTGGAGATCCGGGTCGGTTCTGGTATCAGTATCAGGCCAAGCAGTTTGTTTGAGGTGCACATGAGCGTGACAGTGCTGCAGCGTGTTTCCACCTGCTGTTCCTGGAAGTTGTCTCAGGTTTCAGGCTCCATGTCAAGTTATTAATATCAAAGTAAACAACATTCCATCATTTATTAGTTACTTTGTGGATTAAACAAAAAAACTTCAGTCTCTAATAATCATGATTTCTGTTTTCATTTAGTTTCCTACCAGAAAAATTATTTCCCATAAAAAGAAAATAAAAATAAAATGATGCACTTTATTCACCAAAAGTGACATTTAAATGGTTAAAAAGTAACTAAATTAACAGATTATGATAAAACACATTAAGAAAATGAAATAAGAGGAAGAATTGCATAAAATTCCGACATTTTCCTGTTTGCAGAAGCAAAAAATGAAAACAGAGACGTCTTTGTGTCGAATCAGGAAACTGACAAGTCGAGACAAAGAAGACACTTTAATGAATAAATTTTTCTCATCGAAATTTTTTGTAAACTGGTGACTCATTGTTCCTGAGCAGCTCTTGTTCCTCAGAAATGTAGGCGGGGCTTATGCTTTATGTTTTTGATGTTAATTTGACTTTTCTGCAGCTGAACTGGAGAGTGAAAGGGAATGTGAGCGCGTCTCATCTTGCAGCACCAATTAACCTGCAGGATGACTCACTGATTCAGATTAAATAAGCAGAAAGTTTCTGACTCACCTAGAGGTGGCGCTGTGCCTTCATCTGAACCCAAAGGCCTCAGGGTTTGGATGTTTCAGAAACTCAGAAAGGAGAAATAAAACCATCCCACAATGCACCTGGAGCGTTGTTGTTTCTGATTTTATTTTCAGTAATTACATATGAACAGCTTTACTGTTTGGTTTTGATTGTTTTGGCTCCATTTTCACCACTTTGACCTCTCATGACCCCTGCAGAGCTGACAGGAGTATGAATAATTCTGGACTTAACTGAAAACCTGCGTGTGTTTTACGTCAGTGCCCCCTACAGGTCAGGTGTGGGAAGAGCAGAGTCGTCTGTTTCTGACAGAACGCTGGACCGTAAAACTTCACCAACTGGAATTACAAAATACATTTGATTAGTAGAAACAAAACATTTTGATAAATAAAAAAAACATTATCCAATACAAGGTCTTTTTCAGCTGTATCCAAATCAACGCATTTGGCAAAACTGAAGTGGAAACATTTTTTTTTCACATCATAAGTCACATAATCAGCAGCCGGTTGTTACTACTGGCAGAAAAAATGAAGAAGAAGATGGCAGGAAGTGGTGTCATGTTTTTATTAAGTGAACAAACTTATTCACAAGGGATTTTATTTGTGTTTCTTATTATTGGAAAGATTGCAAAATAGTGTTTTTTCAGCATTTGCAGAATATGGCAAAAGTTTCACACATTTCTGATGTTCATGCTGCCTCCTATGAAGGACATGTTGAGGAACATCTGTCCTGTTTCTCTTTCATGCTTTCTGAGCTCAATGGAGAAATATTCACAATGTTCAGCTGCATCATGACCGGGTGTGTCACGTCACTCCTGCTTCATGGATTTTATTTATCGATCGATTGATTCTGATCACGTGTCTATTCTGTTAAACAGTCCAGCTGAATCAGTTCAGTGAACAGAAAACGGGGCTTCGTGGCTCCCTCTAGTGGAACGACGGCAGCAGGACGATCTGATTGAGAAGATGCCGATGATGAGTTTTCCTCTGCAGGTGGAGATCCAGAGCTGAGCTGATGTAAATCCACCATGGATCAGTGTAAAGACAAAGAGACGAAGAGATTTCTGCTGTTTAAAGACAAAAAGATGAAGACCAAACCTCTCAGGTGAGGAGAACCACATCACCACAGAACCTCCCATCAGCGCTCTCGGTTCGGTTCTGACTCCTTCTGTTGGGTTACAGTATCAAAAAGCCTTCAATAAAGCTGTCAGCTGATCCGGTTCTGGAGTCCTCCAACCAGAGGTCGACATGCCTGACCTGGTGCTGGCCCAGCCGGTATGTTGACCTTTCACTCCATAGTGGACAGGATTCAGGTTGGACCCCAGCTGGTTCTGTTATTGGTAAACACCTGAACACAATTATCTGGATGTCTTTTCCTTGAATGTTCTGTGTTTTCGCAGAGCTCCGAGACCAGACCGTGTTGAATCTGAATGTGTTCTGGAACAGAAACCCGAGACTAAAAGTGAAGCTAAAGATAAAACCAAATCTGCTGTCAAGACGACGTAAGTACCAATGGACCACAGTCCACAGAGATTAGAGAGACCTAAAGCAAACCGACTAATGTTTGATCAAGCTGAACATTTCTTCATGTCACAGGAGTCCTAAGATGAAAATCAACGAGATGTCCAAGGAACAGGAGGAGTGCTGGGCGTCCATTTGTCCACCTGGAGACAAAGACGCTGTAAGTTTGTCCGTCTGTCCACTGGCAGTTTCTAACTGACACACATCTTAGAAAGGTCATCAACCTTCTGGCAATGCTCAAATTGTTTCTTTATACTGCAAAGAGTGGAAACAAATTTGCTCCAGACATGGAAACTCAATGAATCACAGAAACAGAACCTGCCTGACAACATGTAGATCTTGATCAGTACCACATCATGTCCAGATCTAAAGAACCTCCAGAACAGATGAGAGGTTCAGACAATCACCTCTTTCTACTGACTGATGTTCAGATGATGGCATTCCACTAATTAGTCTCATTTTCACATGAAAGGAAACCAAGGTTTGGCTGAAGGAGTCTTTGGAGAAGCTGGGCGACAGGGAGTTGAAATACTTCCACAAGTGTCTGTGGACCATGGACAAGTCCAAAGATGGCTTCAAACCCATCAAGCAGATTCGACTGAAGGGAGCAGACACACTGGACACAGTGGACCTGATGAGTCAGACGTACCCAAAGAAGATCAGAGTGGTGACCGAGAAGATCCTGGAGAAAATCAACACAAACCAAGGAAATGTAATTATCTGTACTACCTCGAGTGGTGAATACGTATGAACACTCCTGTGTCATTACAGTCACCAGAATCTATGATCAAACTCTCTTTTTTCATCATTAAGGAGGTTCACAATCGGGTTCTGGACTCTCTGGACAATCTGAACGACAAACAGCTGAAGTACTTCCACTGGTTCCTCCAAACAGCAGACGAGTCCAAGGACGGCTTCAAACCCATCAAGAAGAAGGACCTGGAGGACGCAGACAGACTGGACACATCGGATCTGATGGTTCAGACATACACCACAAACACCAAGGAGGTCACAGAGAAGATCCTGAAGAAGATCAAGACCAACAAAGGTCTGTAAACGACTCACAGATCATCTACTCAACTGCTTGGATCATCGTTGATATCAACTCTTTATCGGCTCCAACAGGCAAAGACATACCAGAAGCTGAGGAGCAGATGAAGCCGTCTTCTCCAGCTGAAGCAGAAAGTAAGAATTCATTATTGAAGCGGCTGGAGTTCAGTTAGGATGCAGACATCTTGGAGGGTCTGGATGAACACCAGCAGTTCAGTTTCACAGCTGCTCACAGAGACAGAGCTGGGTATCATCAGCATAGCGCTGGTTTGAGACGCCATGTTGTCAGATGTTCTGACCCAGTCAGGGTGTGTAGAAGGAGTCCAGGTACTGAGCCTTGGGGGACTCCAGTGGAGGGACCAGGGGAGTCTCTTTCCTGTGACCCTACACCATCAGATCAGGGAATCTTCAACATGTTTGATGACATTCACTGAGTTCCTTTGTCTTCCATCCTGTAGAGAAAGAAGTCTCCAAGGTTCTGGAGGAGTTTGTTAAGAAAGCTTCAAATGAAACCCTGACCCGGCTGTCAGAGGCTCTAGCAGCAGATGGTGTGTTGAAGTCCTCTGAGAAGCAACACATTCTGGAGAAGAACCACACCAGAGGAAACAGAGCGAGCTGCCTTGCTGACACGGTGATGGATAAAGGACCTGCTGCCTGGAAGAAGATGATCCACCACCTTCAGGCTGTTGATGCTCCACTGTCCTCCAAGCTGGGCTTGTCCTCCAAGCTGGGCTTGTCCTCAGGTCCGTCTGTTCAGCAAGGTGAGTTCTGCTGGTTTTTCAAGTATCTACATCCAGACATCCTGGTTGGGGTGAGATAAAGGCAACTTAATCTCAACTATCTCGACCAAGCACTTGGTGCTAATTCTTGGTTTAACAATGTTTCAATGCAGGTCCAGTTATCGCCATCCATGCCCCGGACTGCTGCTCAACAGAACCCAATCCAGAACCAGAATCTGAGCCTGGTGGCATTAAACGTCTGCTAGGTTTAATGCCTTTAAAAGGATCCTCAACTAACCTACTGGATTTAATTCCATTGAAAGGCTCTTCAACCAATCTAAAGTAAGTCTGCAAAAGTTACAAAATATTATATAAGCAAATAAGAGTTTCATCACAGTGAAACATCAACATTATTTAATCAACATTAACCTTCATTCTCCCCCGTTTCTTATAATTCAATGATCCAAAGAGCCGAAGAGAATAAAGATGACAGCTGGCAGCAGATCTGCCCAGAAGGGGACAGCGATGCTGTAAGTTTAATCTTCTTAAACTATCTCAGCTGACATTTTGGTGTTTTCAAACAGATCAGGCTGATTTATGGAAAGTAGGATTTTCAGTTAGGACTTCAGTGAGGAGGGAAACTAGATCCCATCTAGCTAGAGTACAACTTGGGATCTTTCAGAATGATTTAGGGAGTGTTCCAAGGGGGAAGGCCATCTGGGATCCCTTTAGGTCCTGAAGACAAAGACAATGGCCATTTAGAGATTCATCTGTTAGTCTGAAAGCACAGGAGTTTGTTTCAGCCCTGATTTCTCTGAGTCCTGACAGTGGCTAATGGAATCCTGCCATTATTTGCTGATGACTTTTTCCCTTCATTTATTCTTAAAGGACATCAAGCAGTGGTTGAAGGATCATCTGGAAGATCTGGACAAAAGGGAGATGAAGTACTTCCACTGGTACCTTCAAACCGCGGAAAAGTCCAAGGACGGCTTCAGGCCAATCAAGAAGAGCCGCCTGGAGCACGCAGACCTTCTGGACACGGTGGACCTGATGGTTCAGATGTACACCAACACCACCAAGATGGTGGCAGAAAAGATTTTCAAGAAGATCAATAAAAATAAAGGAGATGTAATTATCAGATTTTTTTCATTCATAATGAAGTGTGCAAGAACAAGCTGTGCTGCTTTTCAGATGTGATTGTAAGAGTCCTTTTTTTAACACTTAAAGGGTTGTAAAGATTGGCTTCTGGATATTTTGGAAGAGCTGGACAACAGGGAGATGAAGTACTTCCACTGGTACCTTCAAACCGCAGACAAGTCCAAAGACGCCTTCAAACCGATCAAGAGGAGCCGCCTGGAGGGAGCAGACCGGCTGGACACGGTGGACCTGATGGTTCAGACGTACGCCGTCAAAACCAGGGAGGTCACCAGGAACATTCTGCAGAAGATTGAGAAGAATAAAGGTCCTTCATACAGAAATGAAGCCACTGCTCCCATTGAAGAGCATCACAAGTTGCAGAATAATTGCAGTTGATTTTTTTCCAACAGAGACTGTTGTTCCTGAAGTTGAAGAACAGAGTACTCCATCTTCTACAGCTGCTGCAGAAGGTATGACTTCTCTTTTGTCATTGAACAAGCCTCGCTGAATGTCCTCCAGACCCTTTGGTGAAGCCTTTAGGCCTTCAGGTTCAGGTTCGGTTGGGTGAAAGGAAAAGTGTTTGGTTGAAAATATGGAGAAATAACTGAGATAATAGCTGATTTCACCCATTTAAGGGTTTGGGGGAGATTTACAAGACGTAACACGAGACAACTATAGACAGAGTCAGAAGATTTAGATTCTCTTTATGCAGATAGACCCAAGACACGGACTAGACCTGTCCTTGCATAAAACCAGACCTAAACCTGAGGTCCAGATCTGCTTTGGTTAAATCATGTCAGACCCTCTGATGTGGTTTGTGTCATTGCCGGTTCTGGTTGGTTGCCTATACATCTAGAAGGTTGAGGATCAGATCCATAGAGTCCATCCTGCTGCATGTTTGCACAATTTTGCATTCCCAGAAGAAACCACAGTAATTCTGTTTTCTTTCTGCCCACAGAGAAAGTGCTCACCAGGATGCTCAATGACTTTGTGGAGAAGGTACCAAGAAACATTATCACAGCTCATGGAGGCTCTCATGACTGCAAACACCCTGAAGTCTTCAGAGAAGGAGGCAATACTTCAGAACCACACCAGAGTCAACATGGCCAGTTGCTTCGTTGACATTGTGATGGAGAAGGGAACCGACGCCTCCAAGGAGCTGGTGAACCGACTTCAAACCATCAACCCTCAGCTGTCCTCTGAGCTGTCCTCTTCCAAACCAGGTGCATTTCCAGTTTTAAGCCACAGTCATTCCTGTATCCTTGGACTGTACATGTGTTCCTCAACCTGTCTCTGAACCTTCCCCAGATAACAAGGTCAAGAAAAGTCTCTTCAGTGGCATAAGGTAAGGAACATTGGATAGGACTGTTGAAACACTACAACATCAGTTTATTCTCATAATTTGATTGAATAACTTCGAAACAACCATTGTGTTGGTCATCATTACATGTTCTCAATACTAATCTCCATACTCTTCCAATCCAAAGGTTGAAAAGGTTGATATCTGAGGAACAGGAGGAAGCCTGGCAACAGATTTGTCCTCCATGGGACGCAGACGCTGTAAGACAAATCTTTTATTTGCCTTTAACTGGGAAGATCCACAGCATAAACTATTACACTAATAAACTTATTTTACTGAAACCAAGAAGTTTCTTCTGTCTCTTCTTTAGGAGTTGAAGCATTGGCTGAAGGACTCGCTGGAAAATTTACGGAACAAGGAGGTGAAATATTTCCGCTGGTACCTGCGGACCACAGATGAGTCCAGAGACGGCTTCAAACCAATCAGAAGTTGCCGCCTGAAGTATGCAGACAGACTGGACATATTGGACCTGCTGCTGCAGATGTACCCTGGGAAGATCAAACTGGTCACAGAGAAGATCCTGGAGAAGATCAGTAGCAATAAAGCACAGGTAAACATATCAATATTTATATGTATTATACAGTTCAGTCCACTTTGACAAATTTACTTCAGAAAAATACAACTTACACTGCATTACAGCACTGGATTCTGGACATTTTCGAAGAGTTGGGTGACAAAGAGCTGAAGTACTGCCAGATGTTGCTGCAGAGCACCGACAAGCTAAAGGGCGGCATCAGATCCCTGAAAAGAGCTCCTGTAGAGGACGGAGGGAAGGTGGACGCAGCAGATGTGATGATGAAGATGTACAGCTCCGATACCAGAGAGGAAGTCGAGAAAGTTCTGAATGAACTCAAAGAGAGTGGAGGTCCGTCAATGAAAACAGTCAGAGTTTGCCTCTTCCTGTTGGCAGATGACTGAAAGTTTGGTTTGCTGGTTTCAGATGATGTTTTATCTGATGATGAGCAGCCGAGTAATCCATCTTCTCCCAGTGCTGCAGCAGGTAAGTGTTTATTACTCTAGCCAACATGCATAAACATAATGCAATCTAGATAGATATAGAAATTATATGCTTGATGTCCTTTAAGAATAAATAAAGGGAAAAAGTCCAAGACTACGGAGGAGGAAAGAAGTTTCATGAAACTAAAGAAATAAAACAAAACACCGAAAACAAACATGGCGTCTTGGATAGAGAAGCTGGAGGATCCATGAAGAGTCCGAGGTGGATGATTCCGAGGCTGCAGGAGCCAAAGGTAGAAACTTCAGGGCCCTGAAGTCACTGCTAACCCTGACGACTCAAGCAGGACTGATCAAGGTTGGAGTGAAATCTCTGGAGCCTGGCCTTAGAGGATTCACCCTTATGAATGGTCCAATAATCCTGGATAATCCTGAGCATCCATCCAACCATTGTCTGCCACTTATCCAGGGTTGGTCTGGGGGTAGCAGACTCAGTACGGAGACCCAGACTTCCTCTGGTCCAGATCCGCCAGGAATCCCCAAGCATTCCCATCAGAGGAACATCGTCCCTCCGGTATGTTCCGGGTCTTCCAATCCATATTCTCCTGGTGGGATGTGCCTGGATGACCTCACCACTGAGGCGTCCATCCTGACCAGATACCCGTCCAACCTCAACTGGATCCTCTTGATGTGAAGAAACCTACCTTGTTCCTGCTCTGATGAAGATGTACAGCTCCATGGCCTTGGATTTGGAGGCACTGATCTTCATCCTGGCTGCTTCACACTCAGTTGCAAACTGTTCCATTGAAAGCTGTAGATCATGACCAGATGGGGCCAGTAGGAGTCTGTGCAAAAGCAAAGGCTCAATCCTGAGGGGAAACCCCTCAACGTAGAGTCAGTGACATCATTCAAACTGCACAACAAGGTTTTGGCTGCAGCAACATGGAAACCTTTTCTCAGAATACAGTCAGGAGGCCAAGAAGACCAAGACGATTTATCTCTTCTTGGCCTGGTTGGGGTCCAACCATCGTCAGCCAGAACCACTGATAGATGATCTGTTCAGAATAAAGTGAAAAATCTGTTCTGCTGTCTGTCTTGTCATTGTTGTGGTAGAAAAAGGAACGAAGAGCATGCTCCTTGACTTCATCAGGAAGGTGTCCAAGGAAACCCTGGAGCAGGTGGTGGAAGCGCTGGTAGCCGATAAGGTGCTGAGCGCCTCAGACAGAAAGTCCATTCTGGAGAAGAACCGAACCAGAGTGAACAAGGCCAGCTGCCTGGTGGACGTGGTTTATGAGAGAGGAGCTGAAGACTGTCAGAAGGTGATCCATCAGATCCAACGCATCGACCCGGCGCTGCACTCTGACCTCAGGCTCTCCCAGCAAGGTGATGTCATCTGGTTCCCTCTGAACCCGGGCTGGACTTAATGCTGCCAGGGTCTTATTATCATCAATAACACATTAACATTCATGTTTAGTAATAAGTTATTGTCAGTATTATCATTCATCCGTATGGCTGCTATAATTGTTTTTTTTTTCTCCTGACTGCAGTTTTGTTCAAACGTCTTCGCTCCAAGATGAAAGACGACGGAAAACCAAAGGAGAGAAAGAGGAGGAAGAGGATGAGGAAGAACCAGAAGAATGAGATCAATGATCAGCCTGATTCCCTCCAAACAGATTCATGATACTAAACGTTTTCATTTCACGCTTTTATTTCAATCTGCAGTTAATCGGCTTCCTGTCGGGTCACTGATAACATCTGGATGTTTTATTTCTATTCATTTTGTTTTTGTTCAATCGAAACAAACGAAGCTTCTGAACGATGAGATTCTTCCATGTTTTCCTGCAGCAGCTGACGGTGGAGGTGATGATGTTTGATAGTTTGTAACTAAAGTCATTTTAATGTTTCTGTTCTTTTCTACTGCAATAAAAATTGATCTGAAAATCAACAGTTTGATCAGTTTATTTATTGATCAAATAGAGGCTGGAAGGCCTCCTGGCCATCACCCTAATCCCCATAGCTGTTGATTAAATGCAGATTATTAAAATATTGTTTTATCTGTCCTTTAAAACTTTGATTATAACACCAGTTTGCATTTTTTTTATAGGTAATACCACAGCTGTGCTCCGTGCAGAATGATTTAATTATTCAAATAGATTAAAAAGTTTCTCAGTAAACGAAACAGATCGGTTCTGCATTTCATCTAATAACTAATCAATCAACGATCAGATCAGAACTGATTGATTTCTTATCTCTCGGGTTGATTCTGGATTTTCTCCAGCAGTTTTCTGCAGGGAGGAGCTGAAATGAAAGGCTTCCTGGGAAGTCGACATTCAGGTTTCAGAGACCGAGTGGCTCAGTCCAAGTCTGCTGCAGGACAGAGCGGCTCCGGGTTCTACTGGCCGACTGGAGGACGTACTGGTGGACGTACTGGGAGGACAGCTTACCACTGTAAGTGTCTGCCGTTTGTTTCAGACATTCTGGGATCTGTAGTTTTGGACCTGCAGCTTCCTAGTTGCTATGGACTGGTTGCCAGGTCTCTGAATCTCGGTAGAGGAAGAATGGTTCTGTGGTGTGATGCAGATCACAGCATCATCTTCATCACTGGAGAAGATCGTCCAGGGTTTGACTTTCTGCATGTCTGAGTTATTTAGCTGGAAATCAAGGATTGATTTCACACCAGAACTCGTCCAGAACCTCTCCAGAACCAATCCAGAACCGCTCCAGAACCCATCTCCTTCTTGAATTGTCCTGTCAGGTTTTTACTTGATGTCAGTTTGGAAACATAAATGTAGAAACATGGTTTGGTTTTGATCCGGGGTCAGGAGGTGAGATCTGATTATTTTCTCATCATTGTATCATATCTTTGTTGCTGCTTGTTCCTTCAGCTCTTTATGAGATGGAAGTGTAGCAGGTTTAACAATAAATCTGCTGAGTCATCAGCAGAACAAGGCAGAATCAGGGCGCGGCTGCAAATAAACTGGAAATACTTTCTATGGAAATAAAATAAAACTATTTGAGTTCATCAGAAAGTTTGCTCCTCTTTGTGGCGCCTGCAGCGTTTACCTAAATGGTTTTAACTCTGATGTTGACTCTCCATGAAAGCTTAGTGTTTAGCTGCAGTAGGAAAGTTCTGCAGAAGGACGATCTCATATTGCTGAAGTCCGACTGGAGGAGTTTTCAGGAAGAATCTTGAATGGTGTTGATGTGCTTCAAGGAAACAGCCAGAGCAATTAGACTAAATGAGCTGCGTTTCCATGGAAGTGAACATTCAGGTTCTGCAGCTGATGGGGATTAGCATGAAGCTAACTGACGTAGCCTGACTGTAACCCTTCGTTTGCTCTGAACTCAGGAGTTTAAGCTGGGTGGCTCTGAAGAGAATCAACCTGCAGTAGCAGGTTGGGGAGGTGGGCAGTTAAATATCTTTTACTGGTTGTTTACTGGAGCGCCGCTCCAAGGCGCCCCTAGTGGCCAGAGAGCAGAACTGCAGCAGCAATTAACGGAGGTGATGCTGTTTGTCCTGCAGGAGAACTTCAGGATCACAAATCTCAGGATGGAGGCCAAGAGGTGGATGACCCTCCCTTCATTTTCTCACAGCATCTCAGGATTTGACTACACCGTCTCCATCATGTTGTTCTCATGTGTTCCAGTAAGAAGCAACCAGCAGGACGTCAACCCAGCAAACCGGCCAAGAACTCCTCAGCTTGTCCTTCCTGGTGTTGTCCTTTTCAGTAAGTTGTTTCAGTTTTTACTTTCTGTTCTCAGATCCGGTTCTGACCCGCCTGTCCGTTCCAGGTTCTGTTCTTTGACCCAGATGATAAACCTGATGGTTCACTGTAGAACTCACCATCTTTTTCAAATCAAACAAAATCATTTGTGCAGCAAACAGTTGACCTGGCTGGTTGACCTCTGATGATCTCTGGAAACATTTCTTAGCATCTTTAAAATGATGGCACCACAAACAGAAATGTGTGCAGCACAAACGTTGGATGCTGTTTTCATTTATTGTGCCTCAACTGAACGTTTGAAACATTTCCTGATTCTCAGGCGAGCAGAACTTCAGGAACCTGAACGGATCCAGTCACCTGGACGTCAGAGCGAATTTAAAGATAAAGTGACCAACACGGCTTCGCTCCTTCAGGGGTAAGCTGGGATTATGTTTCGTTTCCATGGAGAAGTCGGTCATTCTGGCTCCAAAGTGTTTTACAGTTTGGTATTTCTGTCTGTTTTCACTGTTTCTAAAGGAATAAAAGCTCAAATAAAGTCCATGTTAGTCAAACTTGAACCTTCTGGCTCTTCTAGTTTTGTACAGAAGATCCGGACTGAAGAGCAGGCAGACTTCTGGCCCTCGGTTTGTCCTCCCGGGGACAAAAATGCTGTAAGTTTTCATCTTTATGTCAAAACAAGAGGATCTGGAGTTATTCATGTCATTTCAGAGAAAACGAATCGACCATGTTGGTTTATTTTTAAAGGAGTCGAAGCTTTGGCTGAAGACGACTTTGGAAAAGTTAAACAATAGAGAGCTGAGATATTTCCACTGGTTCCTGCAAACTGCAGACGGCTTTAAACCAATCACAAGGAGTCGCCTGCAGCATGCTGACCGACTGGACACAGTCGACCTGATGCTCCAGACCTACCCCACAAATTACAAAAAGGTCACCCAGAAAATTATGGAGAAGGTCAACAGTCATAGGAAACATGTAAATACTTCTTTTTGCATCTATAAATACAGATGCATTATGTTTGGTCTGGTTGAGTTACTCAGTAAACTGATCATGTCTTCCTCCATCTAGGAGGTTCATAACTGGGTTCTGGACTCTCTGGACAATCTGGACGACAAACAGCTGAAGTACTTCCACTGGTTCCTCCAAACGGCAGACAAGTCCAAGGACGGCTTCAAACCCATCAAGAAGAAGGACCTGGAGGACGCAGACAGACTGGACACATCGGATCTGATGGTTCAGACATACACCACAAACACCAAGGAGGTCACAGAGAAGATCCTGAAGAAGATCAAGACCAATAAAGGTCTGTAAACGACTCAGAGATCATCTACTCAACTGATGGATCATCGTTGATATCAACTCTTTATCGGCTCCAACAGGCAAAGACATACCAGAAGCTGAGGAGCAGATGAAGCCGTCTTCTCCAGCTGAAGCAGAAAGTAAGAGTTCATTATTGAAGCGGCTGGAGTTCAGTTAGGATGCAGACATCTTGGAGGGTCTGGATGAACACCAGCAGTTCAGTTTCACAGCTGCTCACAGATACAGAGCTGGGTATCATCAGCATAGCGCTGGTTTGAGACGCCATGTTGTCAGATGTTCTGACCCAGTCAGGGTGTGTAGAAGGAGTCCAGGTACTGAGCCTTGGGGGACTCCAGTGGAGGGACCAGGGGAGTCTCTTTCCTGTTACCCTACACCATCAGATCAGGGAATCTTCAACATGTTTGATGACATTCACTGAGTTCCTTTGTCTTCCATCCTGTAGAGAAAGAAGTCTCCAAGGTTCTGGAGGAGTTTGTTAAGAAAGCTCCAAATGAAACCCTGACCCGGCTGTCAGAGGCTCTAGCAGCAGACGGTGTGTTGAAGTCCTCTGAGAAGCAACACATTCTGGAGAAGAACCACACCAGAGGAAACAGAGCGAGCTGCCTTGCTGACACGGTGATGGATAAAGGACCTGCTGCCTGGAAGAAGATGATCCCACCTTCAGGCTGTTGATGCTCCACTGTCCTCCAAGCTGGGCTTGTCCTCAGGTCTGTCTGTTCAGCAAGGTGAGTTCTGCTGGCGGTTTACAGGTCTACAGCCAAACATCATGAACTTTGTGACCATAATTTATTATTTTTCCGTCTGTCCATCAGGTCAAAGATCACATGAACCCAAATCCAAACCTGTATCAGAACCAGGACTTCTCTGTAAACCGGTCATTCAACAACTCCTTTCTCTTAAACCTTACCAGAAGTAAGTTTTCACAACGTGGCTGAGAAACTATTGAGCTTTTATTAAGTTTTACATTAATCTGGTGGTTATAATCTATATTGAAGACTTATCAATTCCACCATCTATGTCACTGTTGATTCAATAACTATTGCCTCATGCGGACCCTTCACTTACCTCTGGATATTTGTGAAATGATATCCAGATGTAGTTTGGATTGACTCGTATCCATGACCTAAGCTGCTCTATCTAGATTTAATCATCTACAAAGTTTATCTTCTGTCACTAATATTTCCATAAAAGTGAACCTTCACTGATGTTAGTGTCATCATTTGACCCAAAGACCCGTCGATGACGAGAAGGAAGTCTGGCAGCAGATCTGTCCTGAAGGGGACAACGATGCTGTAAGTCACCGTCCAATGAGTCTGATGTCACTGATTATCGTCTGTGGTACTGACGGTTTTTCTTCACTTGTCTTTGAAGATACTTTGCAATTGATATGATCCTGGTCGCTGCCATATTGATGACACTTATCTACTCTACTTAAAAAGGACATCAAGCAGTGGTTGAAGGATCATCTGGAAGATCTGGACAGCAGGGAGATGAAGTACTTCCACTGGTACCTTCAAACCGCGGACAAGTCCAAGGACGGCTTCCAGCCGGTCAAGAAGAGCCGCCTGGAGCACGCAGACAGACTGGATACAGTGGACCTGATGGTTCAGACTTACACCAACACCACCAAGATGGTGGCACAGAAGATTTTCAAGAAGATCAATAAAAACAAAGGACATGTAAATATACTTTCACTGTGTCACACAAACACAAGTGTGGTTCCTCACACACCTTCATACGAGAGTCAGCATGAACTCAATAAAGATTTCCTTCAGATTCTAACTAAGTCTTTTCCATCACCGGCAGGACTGTAAAGATTGGCTTCTGGACACTTTGTTAGAGTTGGACGACAGGGACATGAAGTACTTCCACTGGTACCTTCAAACCGCAGACAAGTCCAAAGATGGGTTCAAACCCATCAAAAAGGGTCAACTGGAGGACGCAGACCGGCTGGACACGGTGGACCTGATGGTTCAGACCTACGCCTCAAACACCAAGACGGTCACAGAGAAGATCCTGGAGAAAATGAAGAGCAATAAAGGTTTGCTAGATGGAAGGATATGCTTGAAATATCAGACCAACGTCCTGCTAAACATTTATTCTGGTTCCAACAGACAAAGGTCTCCCTGAGGTGGAGGAGCAGATTAATGAAGGTACATCTGGAATGTCCATCAGAAACTGGTCTTCATCGTAAAGTTTCCATCAAAGAACTCAGTGATGCGTTTCTGCCCACAGAGAAAGTGCTCACCAGGATGCTCAATGACTTTGTGGAGAAGGTACCAAGAGAAACGTTATCACAGCTCATGGAGGCTCTCATGACTGCAAACACCCTGAAGTCTTCAGAGAAGGAGGCAATACTTCAGAACCACACCAGAGTCAACATGGCCAGTTGCTTCGTTGACATTGTGATGGAGAAGGGAACCAACGCCTCCAAGGAGCTGGTGAACCGTCTTCAAACCATCAACCCTCAGCTGTCCTCTGAGCTGCGCTCGCCGTCTACCCCAGGTTAGGATATAAACAGCCTTTTTACTTTCATTCCGTCATGTGAATGAAACTAAACACCGTCTTATTTTTTAAACGTCTCCAGGTCACAAGTCTTTCAAACAGCTCTTCACTAGTAAGAAGTAAGTTCTGCAAGTTCTTTAGGAGATTCACCAACGTTCTTACTCAATCATTCATCTGAACTAGGGTGGTTCATTTGGTCCATGAATCTGAAACTTTAAAAGCTTCCTGAAAACTATTCCTGATGCCCAAAGTTCAGGGCCATGTTGGTGGGTTTAGGTTAACCGTCATCCTGTGTTCTTATGATCTGAAGAACAAGGGAGATGACGAAGGAACAGGAGGAATGCTGGCGCCAGATCTGCCCTCCAGGAGATAAAGACTGTGAGTCAATCATCTTCAAACCTTCTGTGTCTCTGTTGTCCTCAGCTCAAATGTCTTCCTGAGGAGGAGAAACAGTTGGAACTGGCTCTGATCATTCTGTAGACATGAAGAGTTGAGATTTAGTCCGTGGTCTACCTCCACTGACCGTTCCCAACGTAATGAGCCTTAAGTACGTTTTTCTTTCCAGGATTTGAAGCGTTGGTTGAAGAAAACTCTGGAGGATCTGAAGAACAGGGAGGTAAAGTACTTCCACTGGTACCTGCGGATTGCAGACGAGTCCAAAGACGGTTTCCAACCAATCAAAAGGTTCCGTCTGAAGCACGCGGACAGACTGGACACGTTGGACCTGTTGGTGCAGATGTATCCTGGAAAGGTGAAAGAGGTCACAGAGAAGATCCTGGAGAAGATCAGAACCAACACGGCGCAGGTAGCCAGCGTCACGACCCGGTTCTGGGTCACTTGAGACGTGATCGTTAAGTTCCTCCTGTGATTTGCAGCACTGGGTCCTGGAAATGTTTGTGGACATGGGAGACCAGGACCTTAAATACTGCCAGATGTTACTGCAGGGCGCCGACAAGCTGAAGCGCAGTTCCCTGAAGAGGGGTCCTGCGGCAGAGGGACAGGAAGTGGACGCCATGAACCTGATGATGCAGGTGTACAACTCAGAGCACAGAGAGGCGCTGGAGAGAGCTCTGAATGAAATCCAGGAGACTTCAGGTCTGTCACATTGAAAGACATCATTCATAACCTGACAGTAACCTGCTGATCTAACGTCTCATCTTCACGGCCACCAGAACTGCCTGATGACGAAGACCAGGACAACCCAGCTTCTCCAACGGCTCTACGAGGTTTGAGTTCTGTTCGTGTTCGGACCCACAGAAATACCTTCCATCAAATCCCCACTATGTGTCTATTTTGGTTGCAGCAAAGAAAATGAAGAGCATGCTGCTTGACTTTATCAAGAAAGTGTCCAATAAAACCTTGGAGCAGCTTCTGAAGGACCTGGTAGCGGATAAGGTGCTGACCACCTCAGAGAGTCGGTCAGTGGTGGAGAAGAATCACACCAGAGTGAACAAGGCCAGCGGCCTGGTGGAGATCCTGAAGGAGAAAGGACCAGAAGCCTGTCAGAAGATGATCAGCCATGTTGAAACAATGGATCCTCCACTTTACGCCAAACTGGGTTCTTCCCAGAGCCCCAATTTCCAACAAGGTGAGTCCAGAACCTGCTACTGGTGACCCAAATGATCAAGTCTGGCAGGAAGTGAATGAATTAACTCAATTATTATGCTATACAGCTTGCCATACTGAAACTGTGGATGCTTCTCTGCTGATTTGTTAGAGCTGCTCCAGATGCTGTGCTTCAGCCTGAAGGAGGATGAAGGACCACAGGAAGAGGAAGAGGAAGAATAAACAGGATGTTTATTCAGTTGCTCCTCATGTTGAGGAGCAAACTTCCTGTTTCTAGAGCTGACGGTCTCCTGTTTTGTCCACCACTGTTGAGTTTTCCACATTGGACTTCAATAAAAGCCTTTAATTACATAACAGCTGTTATTCTGTCAGATGTTTCTCTGCTTCTGCACTGAAACTGTTCTAAGTCTGTTTCATGAAGCTGATCAAATTCAATCTGTTTATGTTTTTACATGGTGCTGCAGCAGTGAAGTCAGGCTTCATCTGATTCACTTTGCTGTCAGAAACCTAAACACTCACAACCAAAGAGCTTAAAGACGGAGGAGAGACGAGACGGAAAGCAGGTGAGTCCAGTCAGAGGAAACAGAACAGCTGAGGACAGAGGACAGCAGGAAACAACACATTTTATGGTTTCTTTTAAGGTTTAACTTGAACCATCTTATTATGTAATCATTCTGCTATTTTAATAATCCATGTTTTGCACTTTTCAACAGACAGAATAAAATGACAGATTTAAATCCTGGTTGTTCATCTGACAGCAAAGAGCAGCAGCAGAGAGGATGTTGATCATATTTATAACAAAAAGCAGAACATGAAACTCAACATGGAATCAGGTCACAGCTTCACCTCTCCAACTGAAACCTTTTCACAATAAATAGCAGTGAATCTAAAATGTCTGAGCCTTCGTCATGACGATGGGTTTATTCGATAGAGTTCTGCGCTGTGATTGGCTGTGTTGGCTTGGTTCTGTTCAGCTCCAGGATCAGAACCCTTCATTCATCTAAAGCTGCTGTTGTTACATCCTGGCTGTCAGGTAAAGTCCAATCATTCAGGTGAGTCCAGTGGCCACGCCCCCTTGCACTTCCTGAACAGCAAAGTGGGCGGGGCTACATTCACTGCTGGTTCTGTCTGGACCAGTTGAGTTTCAGAGACGTTTGTCTCAAAGTTCCACTTTTAGCCTGCAGTTCATCCACTTTCAGCAATAATCAAGAACGAGCCAACAGAGTGTTTCAAAAATAAAACGAGACAAAAAGATGAAGAGCAACTAAACTAATAACTGGTTAAAACGGCTGGATGTCCAGTCCGAGAGGAAACAACTAAAATCAGACCAAAGGTCACAGAAATGACAGAATAACGATTCAGCAAGAAAAGAGGAGAAAAACACAGAAACCAAAATATTAACTAAATCTGCAGAGTCCAGACCAGTTTGATCCAGTTTGATCCGGTTAGTGATAAAGAACTAACTAAAATGATTTAAATATAGTCAGAAAAACACTAAACAATATTTCAGAAAGAAAACAAAAACAGAAGAGAAAAACAGAGAACAATGTATAAACTAACTCTAAAGGTCCAGACCAGGTTGAACCGGATCGAACCACTTAGAACCGGGTTGAACCGGATCGAGCCGGGTTGAACCGGTTGGAACCGGATTGAACCAGTTAGAATTGGTTTGAACCTGTTAGAACTGGATCGAACCAGTTAAAACCGGGCTGAACCAGTTAGATCGAACCGGTTAGAGGAAACATTTTGGACGACCCTGAGCAACCTGTCTCAGCTTCAGCTCCTCCACCACCTGGTTCTGATTGTCTTCTGTTCACAAGTGTCTCTGAAATGTTCTGGACCTGGCCCAGCTGTCTGAAGACCCGGCCCAGGACGAACCTTCACTGCTGGGCCAGCAGGGCGTTCCTGTTGGCCTTCATCTTCTCCAGACGCTTGGACAGGTGGCTGTTGCTGACCTCCAGCTCCTCGATGCGGTCCAGAGCCGAACGGAGCTGGAAGGAGCCGTACGATTTTAACCAGAACCGGTCCGCACAGAAAACCAACCAAAGGTGGCGCTCTCACCTCTCTCTGCAGTCTTCTCTTCTCCACCTTCAGCTCATCTTCAATCTTCTCCGCGTTCTCAGACGCCGACTTGTAGCGGCACACCTGACCCTCAAGCCGCAGCACCTGAAGACAAAACCGTCCAGTTGAGACTGAGGGCTGGAGGACCGAGAGGAAATGAACCCATGGAAACATGAAGGCTGACATTTTGCTCCAGAGTCGTGACTTCCTGCTCAGATTTCACCAGCTTGAACTTGAGTTCACTGATCTGCCTGTTGGCGTCTCCTGGTGGAAACCAAGCAGAGGCATCAGGATTGATCCTGCAGCAGATCAACAGAGGAGAGATCAACACCTCGTCAGGAACTCACTCTGCAGGTCCAGCAGATGAGGGTCTATGCCGTTCTCCTGGGGGTTCGGCCCGGGGTTCTGAACTCCATCCACCCCGTTCCTCTGGTCCAGCTGAGACTGGAGAAGTCTGACCTGAACATTCAGAGATTAACATCATTTTCTAGAAGATGTTTCAGCCTGTTAAGTCTTAAAACCAAAAGGTTTCCAGATCGAACCTGATCCCGTAAGCCTTCTCTGTCATCAAACAGTTTCTTCATCCGCAGCTCTGAAACCAAACAGAGAGCAACAATCAATTACTTTCCCGAAGGTCAGCCTGAAGGTCAAAGCTCCATGAGGTGAGATGGTCGACTGCAGTCAGAGCTCCATCTGGAGGTCCAACAGCACAGCTCTGAGGAACTCCACTGTTAGCTTAAGACTCACTGGACGGAGCTTTGGACCCTCGTGGTGGAGATATTCAGCTGGTGAAATGATCATTATCTCCAATTTGATTTCATGAAAATTAATTACATTAATTACGATTGATTATCAAAAATTTACTTTCAATCATTTTATCTCAACTTCTCATGATTTCCAATGTGATCTGGGAACACAGAGAAGAAAGTCAGCTTACCCTTCAGGTGTAGAGAACATCACCTACTGATAAGTGGAACAAAACCACCAAAAAACACAACTCCAGGATTCAGATAAACATTTATTACTGGATATGAAAACTTTTCTACCCTCGTTTTTCAGAAACACATCTTCTCAGAAGAAACTTACTGATATACTCAGAAGACCAGTCATCCCAACACATTCAAACCTTCTCATCAGTCACCTCACACCTTCATCGGTCACCTCACACCTTCATCAGTCACCTCACACCTTCATCGGTCACCTCACACCTTCATCAGTCACCTCACACCTTCATCAGTCACCTCACACCTTCATCAGTCACCTCACACCTTCATCGGTCACCTCACACTTCATCAGTCACCTCACACCTTCATCAGTCACCTCACACCTTCATCGGTCACCTCACACCTTCATCAGTCACCTCTCACCTTCATCAGTCACCTCTCACCTTCATCAGTCACCTCACACCTTCATCAGTCACCTCACACATTTAGATTTCCAGGTTCTAACTCTTGATGTGAGTCTCTGCTTTCTTCTGGCTCTATCCAGAACTACCAGTCAACATGGTTTCTTCTGACAAAATCAGATGAACATGAATGTGTTTGATGTTCATGAAGACCAGCAGCAGAGGGCGTTCCTGGGCTCATGAAATCTTGCAATCTGTGTTGTCATTTTTCCTGCTGTCCAATCCGGGTTCTTCGTCTTCTATTTCTGGTTCCAAGGTGCCCAGCGGTGGAGCGATAACCTGGAGCTCATCCTCCATGGTGGATCGGTTCTGTTGCTGTGATGGAACCAGTTGGACATCCTCTTCTTCATCAGCCTCCTCACAGCTGTCCATGTCTCCAACCGATAGCTCCTCAGTAGAACCAACACTGGTCAGGTCCAGCCGCCGCCCCTCCTGGAGGCCCACCAGAGCCAGCTCAGGAACAGCCAAGGCCCTGATCTCTTCAGCGGTCACCTCCATGAACCTCCTGACTAAGGAACTTTGTCCAACACTGGAATGTGCTGATGAACTGAAGTTCCCTCTAAGCTCCTTTGAGTCTTTGGCTGAAGCCAGAACATGAGTTGGACTGTCAGACCTGGAGTCTGTTGAGTTCTTGTGAGATTCAGAAAAATGCGAGTCAACAAAAACAAAATCTCCAGACAAACTATTTAGAGGAGAATCAGGTGGACTGGCTTCAGACTCAGCGTTCAGCTGTACGTCTCTTGCTCCAGACCTCATCTCTTCTTCGTCATTAGTGGTAGAACGATCATGACAAGTTGAACAAACTCCTCTTGAGGAACCAGGTGGGTTCTCCTTCCTTTCTCTGGCTGAACCGACTCTTGGTGATGAAGAACATCCAGCCAGATGTTCTTCACATCCAGGACCTCCTGCTGTTTCTCTGGTCAGGCTTGTCAGAAGCCATGAGGAGAGTCTGGTTCCCCTCAATGGCCACACTGACTCATGTCCACCTCCATCATTCAGACAGGACTCACGTTCTACTCTGTTCCTTAGTGTGTTCTCCAAATCTGACATCCAGTGGTGGAGACACATCAGGATTTCTGAGAAGATTCTTGAGATTTCTACTACAAACCCTGGTTTATCCTCTAGTCCTTGGAGCAAATCTTGAACAGTCATCACCAGACCGGTCCACATTTCCTCTGGAGGAAAGGGGGACGCCCTCTTTGGGGTTTCAGGGAAAGCTTTGTGCACCTGAGCAGGTCTTTGGAGTGGTTCTCCAGTGCTCTGGTTCTCAGCAGGAGATGTGAAATGTACTGTGGTTTCCAGAATGGCCTCTGTCCTCCTGTCGGAACCGTCTTCACCACCTGCAGCCACAACCTTTGACTTGTTGGACTCGGCTGCAGCTTTAAGGCTGGGACCTTCTTCACTGAAACCTGAAACTTCATCTTCCACATTCCTGTCTTCATCTTGACTTTGGGATTCCAGATCTGAAGTACTCATATGCTTTTGTTCAAAGGTTGTTTCAGAGGAAGAAGATTCACTTTGAGGAGCCAAAGAGCCATCCTGCGTCATCGCCTCCTCAGATGGAGAGTTCAGTTTCTCAGCAGCTGAAAGGCCCAACACCATGGCTCGGTTATCCAGGATAATGTCTTGAGCCGATCGCGGTGGAACAAGTCTGGATCTGAAGACTTTCTGAGCTGGATCTTCTTTGCTAGGCTTTTTCTTGTTTGCCTTGTTTACATCCGCTCTAACAGGAAGCTTTTTGGTCGGATCTTTTTTACTTGCCTTGCTCCGTGTTTGTCTGTTTCTGCTTGGATGTTTCTCAGTTGGGTTTCGTTTTTCTCTGGATGGCCTGGGTTGGTCGCTCACAGAGGTCATGTTCTGTGGAAGTGACCTATTGTTGTCTTTGGGGTCATTTTGAGGGGTTTTGCTGCCATCTGCTGCTGCTGCTGCTGTGAAGCCTTCCCTGAAAGACCATGAAGACACGTTGGAAGACCAAACAGAGTCGACATTCAGGAAAATAGAAAGTAGGAGATTAACCGAGACGATAGCAGAAGGAGGATCACAGAGGAATTACAGGAGCTGGGTTGTTCTTCAGGATCAGGTCCACGAGTTAAAGAGCTGATTGAAAACCAGATATGCACCAGTCAATCATCAGTCGATGATTGACTGGTGCATGCGCTCTAGTCTCCTGTTTAGAAGTGATGATTAGAGGAAATCAAAGGTTTGGTTAGATGTCAGAAAGTCTTAGTAAAATAAATACTCCTTCCTACCGAGCATGCTCTCTCTCCCGCTGTGAGGCGAGTCCTCGGCCAATAGGGAGGGAGATTCCTCCTCGGTCTGGTCTGCGTCGCCGTTGGTGGCGGTGTCAGGAGAGACGGCCACGCCATGGGTCTATTGAGCAGAGAGTCGTAGCTTGGTAACTTTGAAGACAGTTTCTCTCTCCTTCCTGGCTTAATAGAGAAACATCTGCAAAACTTCTGCCTAGACTCTCGTCAGGTTCAGAACCAATGTGACGTCTCAAAGGCAGTTCCAGTCCTCAAACTTCACTGTTCGACAATTTTTGCATGCAACCCTGCTCTGGAACACCTGAATGAAAGACCTCAGGCGTTCGGTAGACATCCGAACTGAGTCCAACTCTTGTAAGATTGTATGTTCATGGACTGCAGTAAGGCAGAGTAAATGGGGGTCTCTCTCCTCTAAAGGGTTCCTGTCTGAATATGTGGTGGAACCTTTGAGTTCAAGGAATCTCTACATCAGTGTTACAGTGAACTTGTTTTCAACACTGAACTAATTCCTACACAGATTCAGATGTGGACTCTTGCTGGGCCACTCCAGAACTTTAATGTTAGGTTTTTATTGAGCAATTTTAGAGCTCTGTTATGGGTTTGTTTAACTTTTTAAGGATTTTCACCATCCAGAAGATGCCCGCTAGGTGCATCTTCTGGATGCACCTAGCGGGCAAAAAAACAAAAAAAAAAACAAGGGTTTGGGTGGGGGAGAAGAAGGCTTACATGGAGTTATGGTAAGGATCTGTTCCTTTGATTGTAAGGAACAGATCCTTACAATCAAACTGTAAGGATCTGTTCCTGACGGGAGGAACAACAGAGACGAAGAAGTTCTTCGTCAAAACAATTTCTATAGTTTACTCTGACAACGGATTTGCTAGGCAGGAAGGTTCCACAGTAAGGCCTGTCTGAGAACCCGCTGTAACCCCCAGGCTGTAGTTCCTGTGGAAGAGGAAGTTTCGGCAGACAGACCGAACAGAAAGAAACCAGAAGATCTTCATCACCAGGTGTCTGCGTCTCTGCAGGGTCAAAGTTGTAGTTGGGTTTTTCTGATACCTTCAGTGAGTCTCGCAGTTGAACCACCTCATCTGTGAGCCGGTCGCGTTCGATCCGAACGATGTCGGAGATTTCTCTGTGGCGCTCTAACGCCTGACACAGGAAGGAGGTAGTGAAGAAGGTTAGAGAGGAAACAAGGTGAGGAAACAGGAAACAAAGAGGAAAACAGCTTGGAGACGTTTCTCAGAGGCAGAGAATAACCAAACCACCTTCCTTGGTTCTGTTCTGTTGCTGTCAGGAAAAGACTGATTTAACTCAGCCAATCATGGTGGCTCTGCACAGATGGTAGCAGAGACAGGCATCACTCTGGATGCATCTTAAGTCCTGGGGTTAAATGTTCAGAGCAGGACCAGAGGACTGGTTCTGGTTCTGGTTCCTCTGCCTCTGAGAACAAGAGCAGCGTCCTACCGCGATCTTCTTGTCCTTCCACTGCAGAGCTTCCTGCAAGTCAGAGATCTCCTGCCGGTAGCTGCTGCTCTTCTGACGCAAATCAGAGACTTCCTGTCCACCAGAGGGCAGCAGAGAGCAGGAGGAGGAGCAGGAGGAAGAGCAGCAGGAAGAGCAGGAGGAAGAGGAAGGTCAGGAGCAGGAAACAGGAAGCGTTAGTTTAGATGGAACAAGACGATGGCCTGGCAGCTAGTCACTGTGGATGACCTTTGACCCTTTCTTCTCTACAGAACTGATTTCATTCAGAAACAATGTAGAGTTCTCCTGGTGAAGGTTTGACTAGGCCACTCCAGTGCTTGTGTCTCACCGTCAGCAGCTCGTTGCTTTGCCTCAGGGTTTCCTCTGTTTGCTTGAACTGGACCTTCAGGACGCTGTGGGCCTGGCGCTCACGCTCCAGCTCCTGGAGAGACATCAGACCAATATCTAACAACGCCTTCATTATCACCGTCGTCATCATCATCATGTTCCTCACCTTGGTGGCGTCGTCCCAGTGGCGCCGGGCCTCCCACAGCAGCTCCTCCACGTCACTCAGCTCCTCCATCAGGTTCTCCACCTGGAACATCAGCGCCGTCTTGTCGTTGTGCAGCTGAGCGTTGGACACCATGGCCCTGCGGTACTTCTCCTCCGCCTCCGCCAGCGAGTCCTGCACAGGCACGGGTCACATGGTCAGTCCTGTTGGTTCTGTCCGGACCGGACCGGTTGGGAGTGTCCGGATCTGTGGTCAGGCTGACAGCTGACACCTTCATCTCTCTGATCGAGGCCTCCGTTTCCACAGAGAACGATGTGTCACAGCTTCCTCGGCGTGACGAGGCTCCGCCCAGAGAGGCCAGTGTGGCGGCGGACAGCGTGGACGCCGTCCTGGAGCCCTGAGGGACAGCAAGAGAGAGAGAGAGAGAGACGGTGAGGACCAACTCTATCCTGTCTGACCAGTGCAGGGTCAGTGACCTCACCTTGTCAATGAACTCCCGGTCCGTCCTCTCCTCCACCTGCACACACAGAACCTGATCAGTAACCGTCCAATCCAATCAATTAATCGACTTCATCGCCTGCGGCTCCCCAGAGAGCCAGCAGAGGGAGCTAGAGGGCGTTAACTCTCTCACCACGGGGCTGGCCCGGGCCGAGCTGGCCCTGGAGGAGGCCCGAGAGCTGGAGGCCAGGAGGCCGCCATAGTCCGAGGGCTAGGAGGGAGGAAGGACAGGAGACAAGGAAAGGACACAAGAAAAAGGAAAGAAATAAAGAATGTGTTAGTGAAGAGGAAAGATGAAGATTATCAGAGCTACAGGGTGATGTTAGAGCCAGCTCAGACCAGCTCAGACCAGTTCAGACCAGCTCAGACCAGTTCAGACCAGCTCAGACCAGTTCAGACCAGTTCAGACCAGTTCAGACCAGCTCAGACCAGCTCAGACCAGTTCAGACCAGCTCAGACCAGTTCAGACCAGCTCAGACCAGTTCAGACCAGTTCAGATAGCTTTAAACTGGTTCAGTTCTTGCCACTAATAAAACAGGGCAAGGAAAAACTAGTTCAGACCGGTTCTGACTAATCTAGACCAGTTCCTTCTCTCAGGTCTGTTCATCCAGAGGAGCTGGGCTGGATTCTGGTCCAATGAACCTGGACCTCCATCTGGTTTCTGGTCCACTCACCGGTAGCTGCCCCGGCTGCCCACAGACATTCTCTCCTCATCATCAGAGATCTACAGACAAACAATTACAGGATCACTGCAGCTGAGCGCAAACACAGAAGAAGAAGAAAGAGAAGAAGAAGAAGAAGAGATACAGACCGAGGTGTGTCTCCGAGAGAGACGAGAGTAACGCTCGCTGTCCTCCTGAAAGGCCATGAAGAAGAAACGTGTTAAAGGAGGAGAAGAAGGAGTCTGCAGGAGGTTCACCTGACAGACAGCGAGCAGGGCAAACAGCCTGACAGACAGCGAACAGGGCAAACAGCCTGACAGACAGAAACAGGGCAAACAGCCTGACAGACAGAAAACAGGGCAAACAGCCTGACAGACAGAAAACAGGGCAAACAGCCTGACAGACAGAAAACAGGGCAAACAGCCTGACAGACAGCGAGCAGGGAGTGAATTCACAGCATGGAGATGAAATAATAATAAAACTATAAAAGAAAAAAAAATGAAAAATCATATTTTAAAACAGAAACTGTTTTTTGTTAAATATCTTTTGCTTTACTGATAAACATTATTTTAAAAGATTTATTTTAACATTTAAAATTAACTAAAATCAAAGTTTCTGTTATAAAGATTATTAAACAATAAAAACATTTTTAAAATTGGAATGAATGAAAGCAGCAGACATGAATAAAATAATTCAATGATCATCTGGAGCAGAGCGGATCATGCAGAACCCGGATCAGAACCCGGCTCAGAACCAGGATCAGAACCCGGATCAGAACCCGGATCAGAACCAGGATCAGAACCCGGATCAGAACCCGGATCAGAACCAGGATCAGAACCGGGATCAGAACCCGGATCAGAACCCGGATCAGAACCCGGATCAGAACCCTACTGAGCACGTGCAGAACAGACAACATGCAGCCCCTTCTGGTTGCAGCAGCTCTCAGTGGAGGCCCGGTTCCACCAGAACCAGGAGAACCGGACCCGACACGCCACACTGGAGCTGTGAAGGAGGTTCTGCTGGACAGAACCGGTCCTACCATCCACTGCTCGATGTGACCCCACTTGTTATCCAGACCATAATACTTCTGAGGAGACCAGACCATACAGAGGGTTAGAGGCAGGAACAGGAACTGGGAGAACTGGGAGAACTGGACCTACCTTGGAGTGAAACAGCTGCACCACATGGAGAGGAAGAGGAGGAGGAAGAGGAAGAGGAGGAAACAAGAGAAGGAGGTCAGGCTGGTTCTACTGGACCGGACCTTTAAAAGTTCTGGATTCATTTTTTAATCAGTTTTGCTGATCTTTTTCTCCAATTTCTTGGATTTTTCTGATATTTTCTGTCTTCATGGTCTGAAAAAACATTTCATTCAAAACTAGATGCATAAATTAATACTGATGTAATTGAATAATTAATAATCACTCAATCTAATCAATAAATAACATTCATATCAAAGTCACTGGTTTTCTTTGATCAAAAGTACGTAGATCAATTTTTAAAATCTTATTTTTTGTTCCTCTCTATCTATTTTTCTTGTTTCTTTCTCTTTTTTAAATCATTTTTATGTTTTTATTAAGATTTGATATTTTTTCTTTCTCTGGATTTTGACCTCATTTTTCCATTTTTGTTTTCTTCCAGGTTTTGCTGTAACATTTCTTTGTTTTTACTCTAAAATCAGATTTTCTCTCAGATTATTATTCTGGATTATTTCCTGCAGTTTTTCTTCTGATTCATTTTCAGCATTTTCCAGGTTTCCTGTCTGTTTCCCAGGTTCTGATCCGGGTTCTGTTCCTGTACAAAGTTCTTGTTAATCTGGAGGTAAGCTCCTTTGTCTCCATGGTAACCAGAGTGACTGGACCCAGAGCCTTCAGAACCTTTAGAACCTTCAGAACCTTCAGAACCTTCAGAATCTGTTTGGTTTCATCATAAACTGTAAAGTTTTAATTAGACTCACCGCAGCAGCTGATCCTGATCCTCTCAGCCTGACCTTTGACCTGCTATCACATGACCCCATCAGCTGCTCTGACCCGTCGTGACAGACTGATCTGTGATCCAATCAGCTGTCAGATCAATAACCCCACCGGAGTGATTTCAGAATAAGAGCGCTCACCTCCTTCTGCTGCCTCTCCAGCTCCTTCATCCGGATCTCTCGGGCCTCGGCTCTGGCGGCCCGCTTCGCCGCCAGCCGGGCCTCGGCCTGCGGAACACACTGATCCATCAACAGATGTCTCCAATCATCAATAATCGATCAAACATAAAAACAGGAAAGAAACTTTTTTCACAGAGGCTGGGTGTGATTACCGCGGCGGCCAGCAGGGGGAGACAGAGCGCCTCCATGTTTAAATGTTTTTACACTTAAACTTTATTTACATGAATAAATTAACTTTAAACGGAAACGTTTTATTTATAAATATGTTTTTTATTTTAATTCCTGGTTAATTTTATTTCTAATGGTTTTTGTCTCTAGTTGAAGTGAAATTTGTTGATTTAAGGTTTTCAGTCAGTGATGAAGATGAAGACGATGATGATGATGATGATGATGCTGTCTGAGCTGTGGATTATTACTGGATTACAGCGAGCAGGTCAGACAGTCCCAGTAACAGACCAGTCTGCTGTGGCCGCTCCCAGGAGGTCAGTGGGAGGAGGAGACCCCCAGTTTACGGCTGGTTCTGACCGGATCTGGGTCAGAGACCAGAACCAGTCTGAGGACGGACAGGACCAGACGGTACCAGCAGGAGACCAGCATCACAGTCATCACCAATCAGCCTCATTGATTGATGCCCAGTTATACCAATAATCAGCTGATGGTGGAACCTGAGTGAATGGACCAACTGGTCACCTACTGGTTTCAGACCAACCAGCTGGACCCAACTGGTTGGTCCAACTGCTTGGACCGATTAACTGGATCTGGTTGGTCGTCCCGGTACCACTGACTGTAGGGAGGATGAGACTGTAGGTGGTTCTGGTTCTGATGGTCCCCCATAGACATGTGAGGATTTAATGGGTCCAAGATCACCTGATGCTCCTCATAAATCACAATCATTTCCTCATAAATCACAATCATTTCCTCATAAATCACAATCATTTCCTCATCAATCAGAATCATTTCCTCATAAATCACAATCATTTCCTCATAAATCTGAATCATTTCCTCATAAATCACAATCATTCTGATTTTAATTCCCAATAAACCAGTTCGACATCTGAGCTTATCAATCAGCCTGGTTGTTATTGATTACCTATTTTATCATTGATCATTCTGATAATCAGCCTGCCTGGTTACCCATCATGTGTATTGATGATGAAGATGATGATGATGATGTTTACCTCTCGCGCTATCTGGCTCAGCGCATCCTCCTCCGCAGCCAGCTTGTCCCGGTTCGGAATCCTCTTCCGGCCCGGGCCCTGGGTTCCCATGGTTCCGGATGGCTCTACCTGCAGCCGAGCCCTCCTGAGGTTCGGGACATGCGGTTCTGGAGGTGCAGCAGCAGAAACGGCCCGGTTCCAGTGTTAACCCCGCCAGTTCGGTCACCTTGTCTCGGTTCCGAGTCCTGATGGACCCATCCCTTAGAACTTTACGTGCAGCCGAAATATCACCTCGGTTCTGATTCAGCCCGGATCACTCAGACCTGTGACCCGGACTATCCAGAACCCATGATTTTTCCGTTTCCTTGTAAAATTAGAGGTTCCGTTAGTGCGGTTCGGTGCTGATGGGTCCGCTCTGCCGCTGCAGGTGGCGGTTAGCTGCTCCCAGTCAGACCACCGAACCGGACCAGCGTCAGGGTGAGTATCAGAGTCCGGGTGGCTCAGCGGCCCAGTTCGGGCCGCCGCGACGGAGCTCCGGCAGCCGAGAGCAGAGCGCCGAGCCGCGGTCCGGTGAGCTGCTGCCGCACCGAGAGCCGGAGACACGGATCCACTGCGGAGGAGAGGCGCGGCGCGAGCGAGCGCGGAACTCCGGCGCGGCGGAAGTACCCCTACAAATTAAGAGCCCGCGACGATAAGAAAATGAAAAAATGGCCACCAGAAACGGAACCAGGGTATTGAAAGGTCATTTTAAGATCCGACCAATTGAGATGTAAAATATTAAAATACGGCGGCGTGTCAGGGCGAAAGGTAGAATAAAGTAATACATTTCAGCCAGAAATATCAACAATTTTGAGATTAATCTCAGAAATGTTTTAGAAAAATAATTAGCTAATTTCTGAAAATCTCTGAAAAGTCAGAAATGAATCTCAAAATGTCTGGGATTCATGTTTTATTCCAACATTTCAACTCAGAAATTTTTATTTGTTCCCAGAATTTGGTCCAGTCCCCCACACACACACACACACACACACACACACACACACACACACACACACACACACACACACACACACACACACACACACACACACACACACACACACATATATTGTGGCAAACTCCCAGGGTGGTATGATGTCGGGCGGCTGCACCCGTTCCCTCCCATCATGGCTGGTCAGCAGCGTGTTTCCAATCATGAGAGATCAATAACTGCTGAGTTGTTTATTGAACAGAAGCTAAACACATCATCATCATCAGTCCTTCAGCAGATGCAGAGGGAACGGTAATCAGGTGTGGCTGGACAAACTGAACCAGTGATATGTGATTAAAGAGTTAATTTAAATAATTTCACCAAGGGTGTGATTACTTTTCCACTCAAAGTCAATGGATTTGACAGAATAAGTGAAATTATGATTTAAAATCAGACTTTGTGGTTTAAAAGTAAAAGAAGAAGAAATTATTAGGAGGAGAGATCCTCTTCACAGCTATGTGCCAATTGTAATCTTGAAGAATCTTCTAGAACTTCCAACTTCCAATCAGATGGAAACAGAATCCTGAAAGGATCATTCCTTGAATCTCAGAAGGAATCTCTGGTTCTGTTGGACCTGTCTGGTGGTAAAGAACAGAATAAACCAACCCAAAGATCCAACCCTTCAGGTTCAAACTCCATCTGCAGGTTTTCTGAACTCCATGATGTTCCTCTGATTGGTTGTGTGTCCCGGTTCCGGTCCGTGAACGTTGATGAAGAACAGGAGGAAGAGGAATGAACTACATCCTGAAACCGGGCCTGGTTCAGAACATGTTGCTGGATCTCCAAGGAGCGCCGTTACTCTCTGCCAACAACAATAACAAGTTAGAGCAGATCAGCGCCGCTCAGGTGGATCAATAACCAGCGGTGGGCAAACATCAGCTAATGTGATAAAAGCAGAGCTAAATTATTGCTTAGCATATAGGACTAGCTTCTACTAATTACTATGTTGTTAGAGCACTTTAGCAATAGCTTCTACTATGTTGCAATAGCGCTTTAGCATTGTGTTTTAGGGTTAGCACAGGTAACTGTAGTTAGCACTGCCCACCACTGCTATAACCAATAAGATGAAACCGGTTCTCACTGGGCAGGTCTGACGCAGTCCGTTTCTTCTGATGAGATCCAAAAACCTGCAGGGTTTCATCAGAACAGAACCTTTTTATTAGAACAACGTCGTCTGCATAGAACATGAGCTGATTAACAAAGTTTAACAGTTCTTGTCCAGAATCACATAGAGACATGATGATGGACAATTTCATCTGACTGTGTCTCAGCTGAACGGATCTGGTGTCTGTTCACTAAACCGGGTCGAACCTGGACCAGGAAACATCTGAAAGTCAGATGAAGAAGGACAGCTTCTGATCTCAGACTGACCTTCTTCTTGGCGCTCAGAGCTGCGATTTTACTCTCAATGTCCGACACCTGGAGAGCAAAGACACACAGTGAAGGACCAGCAACCCAATGTCCACACGTCAAAGCCGAGATGTTATGGATCAACAAAGATGGCAGACCAACCTCGCTCTCGGCGCTCTGTACTCTGGCGGCGGTCAGCGCCACCACGTCCTCCAGCTCCGACAGCTCAGAGTCCGTCGTCCCTCCAAAACGATTCTTAGCGCTTTGCTCGAGTCGCCGCAGCTTAGACTCCAGCTCGTAGGACTGTCCGGCCGTGATGTACACCTGGACAGGTAGGAGGACAGACACAGACTGGTCATCGGACAGGAAGCTGATGGTGATTCTGATGAAGCTGACAGAGCTGAAGGTCAAGGGAACACACTGAATTCCTGCTAGGATCCTCTTTAGGTTCCAGAAGTCTTCTGCTTTAGTCAACATTTTCTAACATAGAGGAACCGATGGCGTGAGTTCTAGTCATGATTGGTGCCGGTGAGGAGCTTGATGGAACCGGACCCTAACTGGACCCAGTGTTTTCCCTGGTTAACTGGACACACAGCAGCCAGTGGAGGGTTAAAGCCAGTCCGGACATTAGCTCATGCTTCAGCTCATGCTGTGGGGGCTGGTCTTAGTGTAGGGATGGCAGGTCACGTTGGAAGCTTACATTTTCCTCAAGTTCCCTGAAAGCATCATCGGCCTGCTTTACATCAGGGCCAACTAAGGGGGACCTGTCGATCGGCTCTGCGAGGCCGTACTCGACCATTGCGTTTTCTGTGGCGTTAATGGTTCTCAGGACCTCAGTGGTGAGGTCACAGAGGGCGGCGGCAGTGGATCTCTGAAAGCCATGTAGAGGGACAGATGTTAGCAGCTGGAAAACAACATCTGCAGCAGCTACCAGACTGGACACCCCCAGATCCTGGGGTCGGGTCTGGACGACTTCTCTAACTCAGGTAGATCCTGGTGCATCTGGCGGTGTGGCCACCACCCACTACACACACTGCTATACACACTTGTTCACCGATCCTTCCCGAGACCTTCAGTGAAGGAATCATATCATTAGCCCTTAAATTTTCCAAGCCAGAGGACAGAGCTGAGGTGCAAGTGAAGGTGATTTCAGTGTTCATCCATCCCTGGTCCAGGCAGGTAGCTGCTTCACATCAACACAACCTGACAGGAGTATGGTGAGGCAGGAGGCGGGCTGTTAGTGAGGAGGTTGTCATGCACCGAGATTAGAGCTGTTCAATGCAGATCTTTGACCTTCTTCTGAGCTTCATGCTGAGCTCTCTAACAGGAAGTTCTTTGTCCTGAGCTGGTCTGGACTTTGTTCTGGTGGAATGACGCTTTCTGCATGCTGATGCTTTCAAACAGGAACCTGGAGGTTCAGCAGCAGTACTTGGTTCAAAGCAGAGGTCTGGGCAGGAAGTTGGTCTCCAGGTTCCTGTTTGCTGCTACTCTCTGAGTGACTGTCGTACCTTTTGAGCCTCTGTTGGCATCTCGTCGCTGGACGAGCTCAGCTCCTTGTCCTTCAGGGAGTCCAGAGGGACCACTGGTCCTCCTCTGACGCCAGAAGAGCCTTTAGTCCCAGGGAAAGGCTTTTTCCCAGCCTCATCATCTGACGACAGGCCTTTATCACTCAGGTTTCCTGCCAGCTCACTCAGCTTCCTCCTCAGCTTCTCCTCCTCATTTGGAGCTGACGAAGTCAAGGCCTGTTGGAATGAGCAACTTTACTGGATTTGAGTCTAAAGTGACTGATGGTTTGTCATCTTCTCATGCGAGTCAAGGATTTAAGGTTGTGTTCTGTCTTACCTCATCAGCAGGAGTCATCTTCTCCTCCAGACGGCTCAGCAGGCTCTCAATGGCGAACATCCGCTTGTTCAGTTCGTTGATCTGAAAATGAATCCAGACAGAAAATGTCACAGCCTCTCTCCTTCCAGACTCGGTTCTGAATGTCTGTGTGTCCTTACAGGCGGGGCTTGGCCCAGGTTCTCCTGGGAGGAGGCTCGGCTGTTCTTTCTGCGGTGGTGGGGTTGCTGGTGAACAGGTTGATACCTCTGGTACTCTTCCTCGTCGGAGGTGTCGACATACTGCTGCCTCGCCACCGAGGAGCTGATCTTCGACAGAGAGCGGGTCCGGACCATCCGGTTGTCTGCATGCTCATCTGATTATGCAGTGTGTGGAAATAAATGCACATCAAGGGACAGACAAGTCTTTCTGATTTGAACGTTCTAGTTTAAAAGACATCCTCTGTTTCTCTTGGAGGTCTCCAGACTTTTCCCCCTGCTACTAAAAATTCATCGAGGAGATTCTAGAGTGTTTCTGTCCTTCAGACAAGTCCTACATTCATCATTAGGACTTGCCCTGAGGTCTCCTGTTAGTGGAACATGGATGGCTCCCTGAGGTTTTCTTACCATAAATCCCAACGGCCTCAGCTGATTAAGCAGGGACTCTACTCTGAACTACTGAGTTCACAATGAAATCCCATCCGTCCAGCGGACAATGAACTCAGACAGAATATGTACAGTATGCTCCAGTATGTGGGAGCCTTTAGAACATGTTATGTTGGCATGCTGACCGGGTCTCATGGCATAGCGGTCCAGACTCTTTCTGCGGTTTCCTCGGTGAGTGTAGTAGTCGTAGTCCCCGTCGTTCCGGTAATACCGATCATCCTGCATCTGCTTTCAAACAGCGTCATGAGACACGTGTCTTCCTTAGAACCAGGTCTTCATCAGCCCAGGCTTTACCTGCTCAGAAGGTCGCCGTGAATGAGGAAGGTAGTCCTCTGAGTCAAAGTCCATGGGATGAACCGACAGCAGACGTTTGTTCTTCCTCATCTAGACGGGACACAGCTGCTTCAGTTACTCCGCTCTGACTGAACCCACAAAGCCTCTTGGTGTTCCTGTTTACCACTTTGTAGCGCTGAGCCTCGCCCTCTCCGGGATCATCCTCGGTGCCGTTGTATCCATCTAAAACAAAGCAGCGGACGGGGCTTACTTGGACTATTCCATAGAGAATCACATGCTGGACCTCTGGACCTGCAGGACGTTCTGGAAAACTGGACTGGCTTGTTGAGAGACTTACGGCTGCGGACATCCGGCATGCTCTGGGTGTCGTCATCACGACCACCTGAACCAGAAACACGGACAGGATCAGAACAACCGGACCAAGGTCCAGAAGCATCACAGTGAGACTCACCGTCTCCGTTCAGGCGCTTGTACAGAGACCGCATCACCTTGGCGCTGCCGAAGCGTTTGAAGCGGTTCCTCACGTTGTCATGGTACCAGCCCAGAGTGCCCATCTTCAGCACCCTGAAGCACACAATGAACAGAACTGAACCACCCAAAGGCCCAGTCTGTAGGACCGGCAATGGATCCAGGACCGACAGTCCGGTTCTGATCCACAACACATTAAGACAGAACTGAAAGCAGATTGAGTCAAGACAGAGAGTTAAAGAGACACCTGTCCGTCCGTCCATCGAAATGCCTCTTTACCTCCACAGCTGTCTCCAAATGTCTCTCTCTCTCTGTCTATCATTGACCCGTCTCTGACCTGCCACCTCCATCTGTCCCCCTGTTGTCCCTGTCCCTCTCTGTCTCACCTGGTCATGCGGCAGTTGTCACACACCCAGCCGTGCTCCTTCTTGTTGTAGCGGCTGCAGGACTTGCAGGTGAACATGCAGCAGTCCAGGCACTGCCTCTTGCTGTTGACCAGGAACTTGAAGGGCTGCAGGCATCGGATGCAGAGCGAGTCGGAGACATTCCTCTCCGAGCCCAGCAGCTCCCGCTTCGTGTCCTCCTTCTCGATACGTGTCTTCAGCTCGCTGCAGATAGGAAAGACAGGAACCACGGTGAACCACACAGCACTCCACTTCCTCTGATCCTGGAAAGCCAGAATAAGGGCAGCTGCCCAGGGCGGCACAGAGAGGAGGGCGCCCAACAACAAGACTAGAAAATTCAGTCTAAAACAATAGATTCATCATGATTTAGAAGTATACAGACTAAAATACACAATTTGTTGAAAACACTTAACATTCAGAGCCAAAACTGAACAAAATATACATTTTACATTTAAAATGAAGCAACTTTCATAACTCCTCGGTTTGCTGTTTTAGCTTCACCGAGATCAAAGTCACTAAAGAAAAGCTTTTTAAACAAAAACTTGCTTTCTTTATTATTTGTTTGTTTAACCTCTTAATATGTTTCTAATATTGAATAAAAAGGCTTGAGAGACTAAATTAATAATCTGGCAATTTGTTAAATCAATTAGTCAAAAGAATAATCAATCTCTAAAACATAAATGTTTTGGCCTGACATGTAGAGGAGTTAGTTTCTTCTGTTTTCTGCTAAAATAAAAATAAATGAATAAAATCTGATACTGGCTTCATTTGAATAGTTAGGTAGGGGGTCTAGTAGGAGGTTCTTGCCCAGGGCAGCAGGGGGTTCTTGCCCAGGGCAGCGGTTCTGTTAGAGCCGCCCCTGGGCCGGATCAACCTGCTGCTGCTGATCAGCTGTTAACCTCCTGATTCCTGGCTCTGCTGCAGCAGGATCTGATTTCCACGGTGGAAATGTGATTTGAGCCGCAGAGCCGCTCCGCTCCCTCTGCCTCCGGGGCTGATGGGAGTTGGAGTCTCCAGCGGAAACAGAGCATCTTTGTTATTCCAGAGCGTGTGACGACGGCGTGATCGGCTGCAGCAACAACAGCATCTTTCACGCTCACATTCCTGCTGGTGTCACATGAGCCGGGATGTGAACAGAACCAGAACCTCCACCTGGACCTACGTCAGCCTCTCCTCCTCCTTCTTGCGCAGGTTGAAGTCGCGCTGGATCACCTCCCACACGTGTTTGGCCTCTTCATCAGTCAGACGGGAAAGATCCAGCTTCCGCTCCATCTTCCTGGAACAGAACCAGACATTACGGCCTGATGCAGGAGTTCCTCAGGGTCCAGCTGTGGGAACCCGTCTGGTGTGAACACATGAAACTGAAATCTCCCAATAATCTGGGCATAAATAGACATCATTAATTATGAGAAACTCAGAGGCAAAAACATCAATATCACTTCAGCCAACTTTAATTAACAATATTCAGAGAAAAACATAAACCTATTGTAAAAAAATTACTTTATATTATTTAGAAAACATGAACAAAAATCTCCTGTTTGTGTAGAAATGGAATAAAATCTAATATTTTAATGTATGTTTCAGGAAAATATGCAAATTAATAAACTTTGGTTTCATCCTGAGTCAATAATTAAAGAAAAAAACATTCTTATATCACAAAGCAAAACAAAACAGCAGATTTATCTTCAGATGCTTTAAAAATCATAAATCATGAATCCTGAGCTTTGGAGCCGCTGTGGCCTTTATGCTCACAACCACGATCCAAACTGTCACAGGATCAGCTGCAGTTAAATCAAATTCAACAAAACAAACAAATAGAGACGATATTAGATCAAATCTAATAATCTATAATCAATAAAGTGGATTAAAGAGGATAAAAACTTACGTCAGTGTCTGTGTGAGACGCTCTGCTGCTGCTGACTGAAGAAATGAGACGGAAAACCCGAAAACATCAGATGATCACTTGAGCAACACACTGAGGCAGAGCCAGCGTTTCATAAGGACAGGAAGTGACATCACCGGGGAAAACAGCCTGGACACTCCTGGAGACACATGGAAACACCTGGAGACTCATGGAAATACCTGGAGACTCATGGAGGCACCTGGAAACTCATGGAGACACCTGGAAACTCATGGAAACACCTGGAGACTCATGGAAACACCTGGAGACACATGGAAACACCTGGAGACTCATGAAACACATGGAGACACATGGAAACACCTGGAGACTCATGGAGGCACCTGGAAACTCATGGAGACACCTGGAAACTCATGGAAACACCTGGAGACTCATGGAAACATCTGGAGACACATGGAAATACCTGGAGACACATATGGAGACACCTGGAAACTCATGAAAACACCTGGAGACTCATGAAAACATCTGGAGACTCATGAAAACATCTGGAGACTCATGAGGCACCTGGAGACATGGAAGCACCTGGAGACACATATGGAGACACCTGGAGACTCATTGAAACAGCTGGAGACTCATGGAGACACCTGGAGACTCATGGAAACACCTGGAGACTCATGGAGACAGAACCAGGTCCTGACCTGGTTCTGTCAGGACCTGGGTCAGGTCCTGACCTGGGTCCTGACCTGGATAAAGGGGATAAAAATGTGAAATCAGACCCTCCCGGCCGACTGGGAGGGTCACTGACCAGTCCTCCCAGTCGCCCGGTCAGTGACCCAGATGTCTCTTGAAGCTGACAGAGCTGCAGTTTGTGGTTCTGACCAGCAGAGGGGGCTCTGTACAACTCTAACTAATTAGTTGTTGTGGTGCCTTCAGGGACTGCAGGAGAAAATGGTCTGACATAAACCTCAATCTGATTGGCTTAAAATTTAATTACAGTTAACAAAAGAAGAAATCAGTAATTAATTATTTAAATGAGCAGCTTGATTTAGAAATTAAGTTATGATTCTGTTGAAACTGATTTTTCCCACAGTCCCTGAATGTGACGCCTTCAGGAACACACACAGCGTGGGATTTCACAGGACCAGAACCGTGTTGGGATGGGTCGAGCAGCAGAACCGTCTCCAGGGTTTCCTGGACCCGACTCGTCTCTCTCTCTCCATTCCTGCTTCCCATTCCTACCGTGTCCGGTTGCCATGGATACGCGGCGAAATGAGGCCCCTTGATGAACCACAGACTGAGACTGACGTCAGACCAGCTTATGGAGACAGACCTGGTGACTGAGCAGGGGTTTCTGGTGGCCGTGGTAACCTCAGTCGCCCTGTCTGTGTGTAGGGGGGTTGAAGCCCACCACCTCCCTGTTTCACCATGGCTCAGGTGAAACAAGACCCAGTTTCATCTCTCTATCAGTGGAAAGAATTTAGTTATTCAGCCTCAAAGAACTAAATCAAAGTTTATATTTTCAGTCATATTTTCACCAAGTTCATGGATTTAGTTTTAAGCTAATTCTCTTCAGACTAAATATTTGGTTAACTCTCGACCGAAATGAAATATTTAGATTCAAGCTGATCAGCTATTTAAAAAAATACTTAAATGATAACGATATAAAGCAAAAGTTGTTGACGGTTCCGTCTGCAGATCCATCTGCTTTATTATGGACTCACACTGATCAACCCTGAACATCAAGAGCTTCAAAGCACCAAACGGATCTGCAACCCGGACAGAAGAAGTTCTGGACAGTCTCTGTGGATCCGTTCGGTCTTTCACTGAAACGTCTGATGAAGGAAGCACCGTTTCTCTCGAGTTTAGACCGTCAGTTTCCTGCCAGCATGTGTCTGCAGGTCTACAGATGTTCATGGTGACTGATGAAAGACCATTGACCTTTGACCCACATGATTCATCATCTGACATCTAAACCTGCTCCAGGTTCTAAAGAAGCCGTTGGGTTCGCCTCAGGT